CCACATTGCACCCGACCCCTTTGGCCCCTCCCACAGGTGGCGACCACCAGGCGCTCGCCCGCGTGCCTCACCTCCAGGCCTGGCTCCAGAGTGGGGCCCCGGTGACCCACATCCGGGCATGGTAACATTAAGTCCATTTATTTTTCTCTTCATCGGGGTCTTTGGGCTGCAGTTTGTCTGGTCCCTCACCTAGGACCTGTCTGCCATGGGTGACCCTACTAGGGGCGTAAAGCCCCTGACATCATATCTCCTAGGATCATTAGGACACTCAAACCCCTCCACCACGGTAAGGTGGCAGCCCAGGGAGGGGACTTAAAGTATAGTTGTTTTAAAATTAATTATATTTGTTCACTGTTAAATTCCAGTTTTGCATCATTACTGCATAATTTTGTTAACCTTCTCATGAATAATTTGCTAATTTTTCACTTGTCAGTAGTTTATGTTCTTTGTAATAAATTATTTTCTTCGGTAAACCCCACCTTTTCATTTTCACTGTTTTCTGTTAGAGGTTAATACACTGTTAAAAATTATATATACTCCAGAAAATCTGCAGGCCCTGATGAACTTCCTCCTTATTTCTTAAGGCTAGCCAAACACATCATCGCAGAATTGGTGTCTCACATCTTTAATCTGTCTATAAGCTAAAACACTGTTCCAAACATCTGGAAAACAGTTTTTGTTCTACCTTTACTGAAGGGAGGAGACCCCACTATACTGAACAATTATTGACCAATCTCTAGACTCCCTATTCTAGCTAAGGTTTTAGAAAAACTGATAAATACTCAAGTCAGGAAGTATTTGGATTCTTTTAACATCTTATCTCTCCATCAATCTGGTTTCAGGAAACAACACAGCACAACGACTGCTTCACTAAAGGTTCTTAATGACGTTGTTGAAGCACTGGATGCAAAGGATTATTGTGCTGCACTTTTCTTAGACCTGTCTAAAGCTTTTGACACTGTGGATCATAACATCTTGTGTCATAAGCTCTCAGAAATTGGTTTCTCAGAACACACTATTGGCCGGTTCTCTTAATTATCTCTCAGATTGGAGACAGTGTGTTCAACATAACGGTACTTCCTCCACAGTTATGTAACTGTTAACAATGGTGTACCACAGTCTCAGTCTTTGGACCCACCCCACTCACAATCTACTTAAGTAATGTAGGTCAGATCATCCCTGATGCATCCTTACATTTTTATGCTGACGAGTCGACACAGTTGTTTATTATCGAGCTAGAACAGTTGCTAAGGTTTTTCCAGCTCTTACAGTCTGCATTAGACATCATCCAGTCAGATTTGTTCCATTTCACACTGGTGCTAAATGCTGATAAAAGCAAAAGGATGTTTTTAAACAGGAGGTGGGTACCAGCATGGTGTTCCTATTGCGTTTGTAGATTCTTACAATTCAATTTGCGTATCTTGCTTGATTCACATCTCTCTTTTAATCATCATGTTGAAAACTTGGTAAAGAAACTGACAGTTAAACTGGGTTTCTTTTTAAGAAATACAGTGTTTCCCCTACCATTATACAAGCGGGGTGCACCGCCTTATCAACAGAGCCAAGCGCCCCATCTATCGAACCCCCCACCCCCCCTCCCAACCACCTGTCGACTTTGACGTAACGCTAAACTAGCAACTCACAATGCAGGTGCACTAGCTAAAAAGCTAAAGGCAGCCTCTTCCCTCATGCTGAACCCTCACGCTGACCCCCCCCCCCCCCCCTTGAAAACTGCTGTCAGTATAAACAACGCACGGTTCATGTGTGTCTGTCTCGCTCCCTCCCCCACCCAAAAAAACCCCAACCTGTCATACAGACAGCACACGACTGAGATGCGTCTGTCTCTCTCCTCTTCCCCTGCTCCAAAACTGTAAAACTGTTGGTGCAAAGTAGCAAGCGGCTGTGTCCCTGTCTCTCCCCCACCCCTCTAAAACTATTGGTACAAACAGGGCGCTGCGCAGCTCAGGACGTGCCTCCGTCTCCCCCAATAAAAATCACGGACTTGATAAGCGCCCCGCCATGGGATACACTGAAAATAGATCCTGTCTAACTCTGAATGCTAGGGAACACCTTGTATCTGTGACTTTCCTTCCCTCAATTGATTACGGTGACATTATTTACATGAACGCTCCTACAAGAACCCTGCAGATGTTGGATGCTGTCTATCATGGTGCACTAAGATTCATAACTGGCTGTGATTATCGTACCCACCACTGCACCCTGTATTCACTGGTTAACTGGGCATCATTAACTTCCCACAGACTCTCTCACGAGTACATTTTCATCTTTAAATCACTTCTTGGTCTGCTGCCTTCATACATCTCCTCCTACATGTCTCTGCGTGAGTGCAGCTACAGCGTGCGCTCTCAGGACATTATTACCTGCAGTGTTCCTTCAGTGAGGACTGAACTAGACAAAAGTGCCTTCTCCTACTCTGTTCCTGTTTCCTGGAATATCTTGCAAAAAGATCTGAAGCTCTCGACCTTGACCTCTCTAAGTGGCTTTAAGAATCTGTTGGACTCCTGGCAGGGACCAATGCAGACATGTTCCTGTTTTTAGTTTTCTACATCACTTTACAATGAAGCTGTTTTTAACAATGTTCAGTCATGTCATCTGAACGGTTTCTTTTTTTTTGCCGAGATGTTTCGTCCTTCTAGGGTTGGGCGATATGGCTCAAATATAATATTGTGATATTTCAGAGTATTCTGCCGATAACGATACATTTCATGATATAACCAAAAAAGAAAAAAAAAAAACCCCTCCAGAAATCATAGTTATTCATTTGACAAAAATAATATAAATCAATTCAATTCAAAAATACTTTATTAATCCCAAAGGGAAATTATTTGTTGTTGTAACTCATTATCCTCATTTCATTAAGAGATGTTATAGATACTGATGGCTGTAGACAGGAAGGATCTCTTGTAAAGGTCCATCCCACAGTGGATCCTAAGAAACTGGCTGCAGATGTTGTCTGATCCGTCCACCCAGACTCAGCTGGCCTCTCGGTTCCCCCGGGCTGTAGGACCGCCTGAAAGCCGAGCAGAACTCCTCCCAGAGCAATGGCCACTCCTCCAAGCAGTCTGCCGAGCTCCTCATCGCTGCAGACAGCCGGCTGCAGGTGTCGGGGGACAATCTTGTCCTTCTGCTGTCATGAGCCGTGTTTCCTGCTAGTTCCAGGATCTCAGTGGTCAGGCACTTGAGCACAGCTGGCAGGTAGATGAGAATGCGTCCACAGAACTTCCTTTTCAACTCATTTGAGATTTGGGGCTGTAGTTGAGATATTATTTGAGCTTTTGAGATGTTAATCAGCTGCTGTTGGTTGTAGAAAACTGCCTTGTTGCCATGGTTACGCATCATAACAAATGTCCAAAACTAAAACAGTTTCAGTAAAATTCCTTCCAGCTGCACAGCATCTGATACCAGAGGAAAAAATCATCCAAAAAATGTGATTTACATCCAGAAAAAGAGGAATTAAAGTTTCCAAAAGCAAAATCTCAGAATGAAAGTAACAGAGCTGCTCCAACATGCAGCCACCTTGAGCGGCGCAATTCTAGAACTTGTTGCTTTGAAGTATTGTATAAAAACTAAAAAAACAACAAGGGTTAATTTTACTGAATTTACTTTATTTAGTAAAGTATTCAGTCTCCAAGTATAAAAATAAAAATGTTCCTTCTGTTATTTAGATGAAAAAGCCTACACAAAATATAGATCAACAAATCCACCACAAAAACTAAAGTGCAGGTGAAGTTTCCCAAACTAACTAAATAAAATTAAGCTTAAGATCTGTTGAGCATAAATGTAACATACAACAAAATATATGTTTCTTTAAATGATCTATAACTTCCAGACCTTGTAACAAGGTGATCATCTGATCCTGAAGCTTGTGGTGTTTCAGCTTCCTCTGTTCCTGCAGGAAAGATCCATTTCTCTGATGCTCTGTCTCTGATCACCTGGCTCTCTTCTGTTCTGTTCATGGACTGTGGAACTAAGAGACACAGCTGAGCTGCGTGTTGTTTGCTTGTAGCTTTTTAGCTAGCTAGTATTGTGCGCAGCCAATTAGCATTACACCAGTACTGACAGGTGGGAGGCGGGATGCGCATTTCGGTTCAGTAGTTCGGCGTGCTCGGTTCTGTTAACGGGGCAGGGTGCCCCGCTTGTATAATTGTAGGGGAAACACTTAAGTATTACATCATGAAATTAGCATATCAGGATATCATCATTTATTTTCCCGGGCAAGTTTTTTTTTACTGGTATTATCGGGAACAATATGATATGGCCCAGCCCTACGTCCTTCATCCAAATGTTTTCTTCAACCTGAGGAAACCCCAAACAATCTGATTCCCACAAACAGCATACTCCATAGTGGGGAAAAAATAGTTTGCTAGTGCTTAGATGGCCTCTGGGGCCCGCCCTCTCCCCTGTCAACTCCTCTGAGGCAGTCATTCCAAAGTGGTTCAAAACACCGAAGTCCATGCTCAATAATCCAGGTAGAAATCCAACAGTGTTCATTCATCTGGACGGTTTATTTTTTATGCTGAGATGTTTCATCCTTCATCCAAAGGACTTCTTCAATCTGAAGAGCCACCAAAACAAACTGATTCCCGCAAATAGCAGGTGTTGATAGGAGAGAGTGCACACCCTGGAGGTCATCTTAGCACCAGCAAACTTGTTTTTTTTTCCACTATGGGAGTGTGCTGTTTGTTTACTTCCACAACTTGACAAGGTGATCATCTGACCCTGAAGCTTGTGGTGTTTCAGCTTCCTCTGTTCCTGCAGGAATGATTCATTTCTCTGATGCTCTGTCTCTGATCACCTGGCTCTGTTCTTGGTCCATGGACTGTGGAACTAAGAGACAGACCTGTGCGTGTTTGTACTGGCAGTTTAGAGCGGGGGAGACGCAGCCGAGAGCTGCGCCCGCACCGGCAGCTCAGAGCGGGATGGGGGGAGGGAGAGATAGCTGAGCTGTCTGTACCTGCAGTTTAAAGCTGGATGGAGAGATGCAGCCGAGCTGTACGTTTTGTTTTTAGCTTTTTAGCTAGCTAGTATTACGCGCAACTACTTAGCGTTACGCCAGTACCGACAGGTGGGGTGGGGCTCAGTTTGGTTTTGTCGTTCGGCGCGCTTGGTTCTGTTAATGTGGTGGGGCACCCTGACGTATTACTCATGAAATTAGCATATCATGATATCATTTATTTGCCTGGGCAAGCTTTTTTTAACCGGTATTATCGTGAACGATATATGGCCCAGCCCTAACTGTGAATGTTTGCCCTCTTGTTTCTGCAGCGTTTGAGTTTGGCTTCTTGCTGCAGATAAATGAGGAGGATGAGCTGACAGTGGCCCTGAATGACTACCTCATCCCACGCAGCTACCTGGCAGGGTTCAGTCCCTCCCAGGCTGACCTGACAGCCTTTAGACTCCTCTCCCGGCCCCCTGATCCACAGCACATCCACGCTTTGCGCTGGTACAGACACATAGCCACACTTCAGCAGGACCTGAGCACAAAGAGCTGCAGTGAGTAAACCGACTGTGAGGCCTGTCTAAAGACCTAATGTGTCTTTAACAGCAGCTGTAACTAAAATCTGTGCACATCCAAACAGGCATGAAGCTTGTCTGCAGGAGTCTGGTTTATTTAATAATAATAATAATGTCATCACAATGTCAGCACTGTATGTTTCCATACAATGGCAAAATTAGTCTCTGCATTTAACCCATCCACCACCAGGTGGTGCAGTGGGCAGCTATTGAAAGCGCCCGGGGGGCATTTTGGGGATGAGGCGTGCTGCCCAGAGACGCCACGTGATGTGCAGTGACTGGGGATCGAACCTGGGGCTTTTGGTTTAGTCTGATTGTTTCCATTAGTCTCAGCAGCAGTCTGTAGGTGAACTGCAGGATGTGGGTCAAGTTATCATTAATCAAACAAAATGACAGCAGCTGGACCAAACTGCATTTTGTCTGCAGACATGTTGCTTTAACTAAAGACATCTTGCAGGTTCAGAAACACCACAAACTTGTAGAGTTGAATTAAGAAGATGTGCAGTGTTGTTTTAATGTTTGGCTTATACACTGCCTGGCCAAAAAAAAAAAAAAAAAAAAAAGTTGCCACCAAAAAAAAAAAGGTCACACACTAGGGGTGTAATGGTACACTAAAATCACATTTCGGTTCCGTTCAGTTTCAAGGAGGGCTTGGTTCGGTTAATTTTTGGTACAAAAAAGGCCCAAATAAAGATTTACAAAATGTTTATTTTGAAAATATGCCAAGTAAAAAAGATGTTTGTATAAAAATAAATAAAAATATTCCCTGAAGAAGACTCAGCTCTCGGTGACATCCTCAGACTGTAAACACAAAGAGGTAAAAAAAAATTAGTTAATAAGGTTATAATGTTAATTTTAAAAAGTTAATTAGATCACAATAATACAATAACATTGCCTCTTTCACGGTCATCATTTCTGTTATGAGGTGGTTGAATCTCTCGCTCATCATCATCATCAGGGCAGGGCTTTAAATCTGGGGTCGGGCTTGTTGACGTTCAGTTTTAGCTTTTTCATAAAGTGCTGCTACAACTTTTTGGCTGAAGTGTTGACATGATGGGATGTTGTTGGTAGTGGGGCTCAAGAACTTTAATCATATGTTAAAGCCGGCGCATCAACAACATTCAGACATAGATCCAGAGCTTTAAAAACTCATACAGCTTGTGTTATTGCTTTGGACTGATCTGAATTACCTTATTTTGTGTTATTTATTTAAATAAAACCAGGATTCGGAAGAGTGATCAGCACGATGGACAAAAAGAAAATACTCAGATACTGTTCTGCTAGAATAATTGTCTTTATTATTCCGCCACAGATTACAGCATAAAAAGCAAAGCAAGGTACAATCACACTCAGATGTACAATCTCACAAGTATTGATGTAAAAAAAACTCTCACCGTGACACGTAGACTGGAGAGCCGGACAGCCTAGGCAGAGCACACACCAACACAGCTGGACGTCCCGATCGGTAGACTCACAGCAGACTCTAACCTGGTCCAAGTGCTTCTTCTTTTTTATTCTCTCCCTCTCTTTACATCACATGAGAGTGTTTCCCAGTGAAACAAAACATGTTTACTCGAAACTCAGAGCTGCATTCCAAAAAGCGGTAACTCCTTTACATCTGCGTGGAGGGAGTGAAGACTTATCTTATCTGAGGAAAAACATGCTTACTTGAAACTCAGAAACTTCAAGGTAGCGTGTGAGGAGGATGGGCCAAAATCCTCCTCTCAGGCTTCCCAGTGATAAGCAAAAAACACTTCATCACAATTCTTTTAAGTTCCAAGTGATAAGAACATTCCTTTCTGCAAAAACACTTCATTATAGTTCTGCAAGTAAATCCTCCTCTCAGGCTTCCCAAGTGATCAAAAACACTATTTATATAATAGTTCAAACGGTCAGAAAAACAACTTTTTATTAAATTTACAACTCATACCTGATGAAGGTTGTTTAAATGCTGCTGTTATCGCTCTTTGCACAAAGCTATGTTCATATTCGGATGATGTTGTTTCAAGCGCATTAACAAGTTAGACGTGTTGCCTGATGCAGATCCAATCTCCGTGAAACAATCTCGACACACAGCTTTGGATTTGTCCACTTTTCTTTTCCCATTGTTGAGTTTTAACAAGAAAGCCATAATGTTCCCAAACAGGAGACCACAACAAGATGAAATGGTCTCCTGCTAGGCTGCTAATGCTACGCGTGCTGCAAGACTATGCAACAATTAATAGCAAAATAATAATGAAAAAAATAACTGAAAAGGTACGCATGTGGACCGAACCGAACATGTTGTACCGCAATGGTTCAATATACCCACATGTACCGTTACACCACTATCACACACTAATATTACGTTGGTCCGCCTTTAGCTGTGATTACAGCATGTATTCTGTGTCATTGTTTCGATAAGGTTCTGCAATGCCACAAGATCTATTTCCATCCACTGTTGCAATAATTTTTCACCAAGATCTTGCATTGATGATGGCGGATTCTGACCACTGCGCAAAGCCTTCTCCAACACATCCCAAAGATTCTCAATGGGGTTAAGGTCTGGACTCTGTGGTGGCCAATCCATGTGTGAAAATGATGTCTCATGCTCCCAGAACCACTCTTTCACAATTCGAGCCCAAAGAATCCTGGCATTGTCATCTTGAAATATGCCCGTGCCATCAGGGAGGAAAAAAGTCCATTGATGTAATAACCTGGTCATTCAGTATATTCAGGTCGTCAGCTGACCTCATTCTTTGAGCACAAACTGTTGCTGAACCTAGACCTGACCAACTGCAGCAACCCCAGGTCATAGCACTGCTCCCACAGGCTTGTACAGTAGGCACTAGGCATGATGGGTGCATCACTTCACCTGCCTCTCTTCTTACCCTGATGCACCCATCACTCTGGAACAGGGTCAGTCTGGACTCATCAGACCACATGACCTTCTTCCATTGCTCCAAAGTCCAATCTTTAGGCTCCCTAGCAAATTGAAGCCTTTTTTTTCCCCAGTTAGCATCACTGATTAGTGGTTTTCTTAAGACTACACAGCTGTTCAGTCCCAATCCCTTGAGTTCCCTTCACATAGTGCGTGTGGAAATGTTCTTACTTTCACTATTAAACATAGCCCTGAGTGCTGCTGCTGTTTTTCTTCCATTTGATTTCACCAAACATTTAAGTGATCGATCACAATCATTTAGGATTTTTTTCTGGCCACATTTCTTCCTCGAAGTCTATGGGTCCCCACTATCCTTCCAGTTTTTAATAATGCGTTGGGCATTTCTTAAACCAATTTTAGTAGTTTCTACAATCTTCTTAGATGTTTTCTCTGCTTCATGCCAATTATTTGACCCTTCTCAAACAGACTGACATCTTTTCCAAGACCACACCATGAGTCTTTCCACATGGTTGTTTAAGAAGCGAGAAACAACTCATTGCACCAGTGGGGGTTAAATAACTTGTTGCAGCTGAAAGATAATCACCCATGTAGTAATTATCCAATAGGAGGCTCGTATACAAACCGGATTCCAAAAAAGTTGGGACACTAAACAAATTGTGAATAAAAACTGAATGCAATGATGTGGAGATGGCAAATGTCAATATTTTATTTGTAATATAACATAGATGACAGATCAAAATTTTAATCTGAGTAAATGTAACATTTTAAAGGAAAAATATGTTGATTCAAAATTTCACAGTGTCAACAAATCCCCAAAAAGTTGGGACAAGTAGCAATAAGTGGCTGGAAAAAGGAAATTGAGCATATAAGGAACAGCTGGAAGACCAATTAACACTAATTAGGTCAATTGACAACATGATTGGGTATAAAAAGAGCTTCTCAGAGTGTCAGTGT